CCACCCAGGCGCCTCCTTGTATTAACCATTTTTACAGCTTTATGTTACTTAAAAAAATTAGTAAACATCACACTTCTATGTCTTTGTCCTTGGATGCGGAAAAGGATTGGATGATAGAAAAGTGCATGGCATGACAGATTTTCCTTAAATCCAATACTTTTATTTTAAATCTTTTATTTTAAACAGCTATATTGAGCTATAATTCACATACCATACCATCCACCCATTTGAACAGTACAATACAATGGCTTTTAGAATATTCACAAAATTGTGCATTCATCAACACAATTTTAGAATATTTTCATTACTCCAAAAAGAACTCCATACCTCCTGGCTGTCACTCCCCAATCTCCCATCCAGGCCTTGGAATCATACAGTATTTATCCTTTTGTGACTGACTTATTTCTTAGCATAATATCCTCAAGGTTCATCAATGTTATAGCATGTGTCAGAATTTCCTTCCCTTTTAAGGCTGAATGATATTTCATTGTATGTATATGCTATGTTTTGTTTTTCCATTTACATGTCAAGAGGCATTTAAGTTGTTTCCACCTCTGGCTATTCTGAAAAGTGCTACTATGAACATGGGTATATGAATTATCTCTTTAAGATCCTGCTTTTAGTTATTTTGGGCATATGCTGATAAGTGGAATTTCTGGATTGTATGGTAATCCTATTTTTAATTTTTTATGGAACTGCCATACTGTTTTCCATAGCAACTGCATCCATATTACATTCCTACCAACAGTGCTCCAGGGTTCCACAATTGGGTTGTCTTTTTACTACTGAGTTGTAATTTATATATTGTAAGTACAAGTCCCTTATCAGAGATATGATTTGCTAATATTTTCTCCCATTCTTTTTACTTTCTGTATGGTGTCCTTTGAACCACCAAAACGTTAAATTTTGATGATGTCCAGTTTATCTACTTTTTATTTGTTGTACTTTTGGTGTCCTATCTGAGAAACCATTGCCTAATCCAAGGTCATAAAGATTTATGCCTATATTTTCTTCTGTAAATTTTAGCTCTTACACTTAGGACTGGATACATTTTGAGGTGGTTTTTTTTTTTTTTTTTTTTTTTTTTTTAATGGTGTGAGGTAGGGATCCAACTTTATTCTTTGCATGAGGATATCTAGTTGCCCCAGTTATACCAAAAGACTGTTGTCTCCCCCATTGGATTGTTTTGGCATTCCTGTTAAAGATGAATTGATCATATATGTGAGGATTTATTTCTAGACTCACAATTCCAGTCCATTTCTCCGTAATCTATTCTTATGCCAATACCAGTGTTTTGATTACTCTAGTTTTGTAGTAAGTAAATTTTTAAACTGGGAAATGTGATTCCTCCAATTTTGTTCTTCTTTTTCCTGAAAAAGAAAAATGTTCTCTTAACACCGGTATTTATTTATTTATTTATTTATTTATTTATTTATTTATTTATTTTTGACAATGATCTTTTAGATTCTTGGTGCATGATTATTCAACTACCATCTTCAAATACAACTATAATATAATCAAATATTCTCCATCTTCAACATATAAATACTTACTTATCTCATTGGTCTGATGTATAAAGTTAACAACTGCTTGAAATAAGTGGAAGGAGAATAATTTGGCATATTCAATTATTTGCCAAAGACATCAGCACCCTGGTTACCATCAAATTCTTTTCCATGTCTTCACAAACCACGTAATGACACATTCTAATATTTTCCCAAGGCATAACAGTGTCTGACTGGCTCAGTCAGTAGAGCATGCAACTCTTGATCTCAGGGTTGTGAGTTCGAGCCCCACATTAAATGTAGAGATTCTAAATAAATAACCTTAAAAAAATAATAAAAAGTAAAATAAAATTTTCCCAGGGAATAATGTCAAACAGATGAGTGGATCATTAATGAAATCTTCTCTTTCCCCCTTTTGCAAACTTTGCTGATATCTGCCTCTTTCTGTTCTCTAGCCATCCCCCAATATCTATGATATCTCATAGATTAGAACTCCTGGGCACAGGTGAGGAGTGCACAGAATACAGTTACTTTTTGCAAACACACATTGTATGCTACCCAGATTTGTGATTCTGTCTCTACATCTGCCAGGAAGAGGCAGCAGGCAGCACAAAATACATCCAAAATTTAGCACATGCATTCTTCTGAAAATGAGTTTTATTCAGAAATTGAGTCAGTTCTTAGAAAATGTTTCATAAAGGGGCACCTGGGTGGCTCAGTCGGCTAAGCATCTGACTTCAGCTCAGGTCATCATCTTCTGGTTCATGGGTTCGAGCCCTGCATCGGGCTCTGCACTGACAGCTCGGAGCCTGGAGCCTGCTTTGGATTTTGTGTCTCTCTCTCTCCCACTGTCCCTTTTCCACTCATGCTCTGTCTCTCTTGGTCTCTCTCTCAAAAATAAATAAAACATTAAAAAAGTGTTTCATAAAATAATGGAAGTCTCCGTGTCACCTTTCTCCTAGCTGTCATTCTGCAGAGAATATTTTAATAACTACTAGAAATTTGCTCTTCCATTATTGGCAGAACCACAACTCCTACCCTCAAGAAATTCAGCATCATGGAGAATAATGCTTTCTCTCCATAATCTATACAGTTGTTTGCAGATATAAGCCTCTAACCCATGTCACCATTTGATGTCACTATCAATAATTTCTTTTTCAAAAGTGAGAAGGAAAAAGATATGACATCTGTATAAAATCACACAGGAGTCACTGAGCTCAACCAGGGCACATAGCATTGAGTATACATAGATTCAAGTACAGCCTGAATGGCATGAAGTAATGTTAAAAATTTCTTTTTATTATCAGTGATGTTTCACTTAATTTCCATTTTATTGAAGTTTACACCCATAAAAACCAGCACTTTTTAGACCCTTCTTAATGACTTGAGGTCTTTTTTATAAACTCATGCTGCAATGCCTTCGGGGTTAATGACCTATTTAGGATTAGTCTACACAGGACTGTTTACTGAGCTATTTAGTTTTTTATATGGTCTCCTTTGTCAGGAGCCCTTCCTGGTTGTCAGCATACTATTTTTTACTGTAGCCACAAGACTGCTGTTCCTGTGGCCATGATCAGTAACATTAAGTTTTCTCCAAAACGGTGACTTCATCTATTTTGCACTTTCACTGAATCCTAACATTAGATTCAACGTGAAACAAAACTAACACCGTGCAAGTCATTGGAATGAACTTTTGAGGCAGAGGGATGGGAAAGGACAAGAGGGTATTGTGTTAGAATTTGTATGACTGATTCCAGCTATTATTACTGCTTTGGGTCCTGTAGCATGCCATTAAATCTAAAAAGAGATATTCGTACCCTACAGACGAAGCAGTCACTGAGTCTTAAAAGATATGAAAAGCCGTGTAACAACAACTGGGTATAATACGTCACTGAGGCTGCACAGGCATGAGGGGGTGGACAACTTAATGTCATGCAATAAACACACAGCCTACTTTTAAAGGTCTTTTCTATATTTAAAAAGCCAGGGAGTCAAGAACAGAAGTGGAATCCTACCTGGAGTGAATGGAAAGTGACTGAAGTAACAAAGCTGTGCCCAGAGACACACAGTACACACCCCTAGGATGCGAATGTCCCCACATCCTATGTCCAGGCAGCAGTAGAGCAAACATGCATTTGATAGTACAGATGTAAACCTGAATAAAGGAAACACGGTTTGGGATTTCATACTTGAAGAAGGGGACTGAGTTCTATAAAATTCTTAGAAACACATGGACAAAATTAAGTTATTTTGTTTTAACCACAAGTATTTATTGATGGATCGAAGAATACAATTTTAATGGAACAGTAAGGCACAACTGTGGATTCAAACAGTTTGCTATACAGCCAAAAGG